GCGAATCGGTCCGGCCGAAGCGGTCCAGGGCGAAGCGGTCTGCGCACAAAGCTGTCAGGACGGAGCCGTCTGGGCGAAGCGCTCCACGCAGAGAGGTCTGGGCGAAAGATTTGGCGGTGACTCAGTTCTACCGCCTCCCCGTCCCCATCCAGCTTTCCCTGCCCCAGCTCTCCCTCCTCCCGCCGACAGGGAGGCGGTGCGCGACAGCCCCCCACGCGTGCGCGCGCCCTGGAGCGTCCGGGCGGCAGGGTGAGACCCAGGTCCTGGCGCGAGGACGTGGCCGACTGGGACGGATCGCGAGGGGGAGCAGGAAGAGGATGATAAGAAGCCGACGCCGACAGACACCTCAGTGGGCTTCGAAGCTGGTTTGACTACAGAAGGCCCTAGGAACGATCTATCATCAGTGTTTCTGGGCTCCAACCGCCCGCAAAAAAAATATGTTTCAATCACCTTCCCCCTGAAGGACGAAGCCCGCGACGAGGAGGATGTGGACGACGAGGAGGACAAGGGTGATGATAGACGGACGGAAGCTCGCATACGTGCCGGGGCGCGGTTAATGCAGAACTGAGCAGTGACGCCGTGGCGCGCCGAGCACTTCGCACTAACGCCAAAGAGATTACAAGCGGTGCAGCGCGAGTATGTAGCACCCCGCAATTGCGGATGACGATGAAGGGGCGGGCGCGGGGTGGGTCGCGGGTGGGTCGCGGGTGGGTCGCGGGCGGGTCGCGGGGTGGGTCGCGGGTGGGTCGCGGGTGGGTCGCGGGCGGGTCGCGGGCGGGTCGCAAGTGGGCCGCGGGTGGGTCGCAAGCGGGTCGCGGGTGGGTCGCGGGTGGGCTGTTGGCGGGTCACGGGTGGGTCGCGAGCCGGGTCGTGCGAATAGAATGCATGATGGAAAACAAAATAGGAACATTCAGGCCCCGAGCAATTCCAAAATCCTTGGAACTATGATCCGCCTTTTCGCTGTCGCAAATAATGGGGCCATATGAGATGCCTCACGTGGCACCCATGACACATTGAAACCGCACATTATGTATAGAACGCTGGCGAAGTGGATCAAGACAACCGCGTGCATGTGAAAGACTTCTACAATAGTTCCCCGGTGCCTCCATGCACCCCGGTACGTGCGACCATCCACAAATAACCTCGTTGCATGTCGCCGTCATGATTTTCATGTACGAGAGCGCGTTTCACGGGCGCTTGCCTTGGGAACGTTCGGCGGCGCGTTTCAATCCGGAGGGTGGGTCCCCCCCCAAGACTCGGCGCCGTCGATCAAAACCAAGGGGACTCTCCTCCCCCCAAGCCCCCCCCCCTCCCGACCCCCCCCCCTTCGGCGCCGGCGCTGGCGGCCGCCAGCAGCGCCCACGGCGGGGACGCAGCGACGATGACCACAGGCAGCTCAAAAAGGGGCGGGGTTCAAACCCTCCGCCCCCCCCCGGGTGGGGGTTCAAACCCCCACCCCCCGCCCCTCGCGCCTGCGCTGGCGCTGGCGGCGGCCAGCAGCGCCGGCGCTGGCGCCGGCGACAGCGGGGACGCAGCGACGATTACCACCACTACCACCACCACCACTACCACCACCACCACCGCCTCAACCCACCACCACCACCACCACCACCACAGCACCACACAACCACCACCACCACCACCACCACCGCAGCCACCCCCCACCACAACCACCACCACAACTCACCACCACCACCACACCACCAAAAACCCACCACCACTACCACCACCACCACAATTTACCACACCACCACCACCACCGCCACAACCGCTACCAGCAGCACAACCCGCCGCCACCACCACAAAGCACACACCACGACCACCACCACCGCCCCACCACCACCACCACCACCACCCCCACCACCACAACACGTCCACAAACCACCGCCACCACCACAACCCACCACCACCACACCACCACCACCACACCACCAAAACCACCACAACTCACCATCACCACCACCACCACAAAAACCCACCACCACTGCCACCACAACCACAATCTACCACACCACCACCACCTTCCGCCACAACCACCACCACTACCAGCAGCACAACCCAACACCACCACCACAAATTACCAAACCACCACCAACAACGACACCACCACCACCACCACAAACCACCGCCACGACCTTCACCCACCACCACCGCCACAAACCACCACCACACCACCACCAAACCACCACCACCACCACAACCCCTCCCCACCACCACCACCACCACCACCACCACCACAAACCACCACCACACCACCACCAAACAATCACCACCACCACCCCCACCGCCACAACCACCACCACCACAACAAACCACCACACCACCACCACCACCACAACCACCACCACCGCCACTACCACCACCAACACAACCCACCACCACCACCACCACCGTCCTCGTCGACGGTCCCCGCCACCGCCGCCCGTCGCCGCAGGCGCCGGCCGGCGCCGGCCCAGAAATGGAAATCGTCGTCCCCGCCGCCGTCGCCAGCCGCCGCCGACGCAAGCGCCGGCCCGAGGGGAGGGGAACGAGGGGGGGGGTTGAAACCCCGGGGGGGAGAGGGGGGAGGTTCGAACCCCCCCCCCGTCTCCGTCACGGGAGAGGGGGGGGGGTCCGGTTCCAACCCCCCCCCCTCCAAGCGACCACAGAACGCGCTCTTTTTCATGTTCCGACCTGCGTGAATGCGTCGTTGGGTGTTATAGAGCAAGCTGCCAGCAGCTTCTGGCACCATTCGAACAATTATTATTGTCCGTCCTCTGGAATATCATAAGGAACAGCAGCCTTATTCCCCATAGCTTAAGATGGGCTTCTTGTTATTACTTAGACGCCTCTGGACCTTCCTCCTTCTTATCCTCCTTCTCCTCCTCTTCCTCTTCTTCAATTAAACACCACTCAGATGCTCAGATTCAGATCGCTCACACCCATCACGGGGCCCATCACATACCCACCCTTCTTCACGGGGTCCATAACAGACGCACTGTCCCACACGCGCGATTCAGCCAGATCACTCCCTCACTCGGGCTCAAACAGACTTGGACTCAGTCAGATTCAATCACACTCATTATGGGAATCAGCATCCGACGCAGACTCCTCATCCGAATTCGTATCGTTTCACTCCAACACATTCTTCCTCACTTAGAGTCACCCAAGCTTTTCTAGTGGTCCACAGCCCACCGCGGTACAGCAAGCGTGACATTTTGGGCTTCCAAAATGGGAACCGCCATAGGGTATGACACTCGCCCGTTCTTGCCCAAATTGTGGGAATGTCTCAAGCGGTTAGCCGGTGTCTGCCCCCCAGACTTTCTTTTCTAACTGTCCACTGCTCAACGCGAGAAAAAAACTTGCATTTGGGCACTAAACGGGAGAGCCGCCACGGGGTACAATAACCCTGAACCCACGAGAATAACCCCCCAGGGATAGTAAAGTTCGGGGTTTTCGGGGAGATAATAAAAGTTGCCCGCCAGAGCCAGCATAAAGAGACATCAAGAGGAAAAAGCCAAAGATATCTTGAGGATTGTCTCGGTTGAGACATCCTCAACGAATTTCTTGTTTCGCTTGAGACATCCTCGAAATATTTGTCTGTTTCGCCTGAGACATCTTCAAATTATTGCTTATTTCGCTTGAGACATCCTTGAGGGGGGAGGAGGAGAAAGAGCAAGAGGAGGAGAGGAGAAGGAGATAGCAAAAATCCAAAGTTTAAAACTTATTGGATTTAATGTGAAAGCGCTTGATGAAAATTCAAATGTTCATCTGCTCGTGAAGGGTAGCTCACGCGCCTCGTTTTCCCAGGATAATCAACCCCAGCGATAAACAAGTTCAGGGCGCCAGGGGGAGGAGGAGGAGAAAGAGATAGAGAGACAGAGAGAGAGAGAGACAGAGAGGCCAGGAAGGAGAAAGCGATAGAGAGACAGAGAGAGAGAGAGACAGAGAGAGAGAGAGACAGAGAAAGAAAGAAAGAGAGACAGAACAAACTACAAAGAGACAGAAGGACATTGGTTTCGCTTGAGACATCCTGAAACAACGTGTTCGCTTCGCTTGATGTTGTTACCTCAACATAAGAAGGAACCTCGATGGCGAACTTTTCCCGTCATAATGAAGTTCGGCCTCCGCGCCCCCGCGCCCCCGACCAAACTCTTATTGGCCGACGATAAAAAAACTCAAACGACTTAAGGGGGGGGTACATTATTACCGCGGGTTCGCGGTTACTCGCCCGGTCACGCCCAGATTGTGGGGATGTGTCAAGCGGTTGCCTGCTTCTGTCCCCAAGGCTTTTCTTTTTTCCGGCCCATTGGTCACAACAGTGTAGCTGTAGCAAACGTGGCACTTGCACACCCCAAAGGGGAACCGCCAAGGTGTATTTCACGAGCCCATTAACGCCCAGACTGTGGGGATGTCTCAAGCGCTCTACCTGCGTCTGGACCCCAAACGTTTCTTTTTTGATGATTCGATGCTCACTGTGACATAGCCGGCATTCCTGTAGGGCACACCTAGGAGGAACCGCCACGGGGTATGATACTCGGCCGTTCGTGCCCGGATTGTGGGTATGTCTCAAGTAAATTGCCTGGTTCAGCCCTTTCAGACTTTTCTCGAATGGTGGTCCACGGCTCACCCGGTATAGCATGCGTGACACTTGCACAACCGAAAAGGGGGAGACGCCAAGGGGTATGACACTCGCCCGTTCGCGCACAGGACTTCGGAAATGTCTCGACCGGTTTGCTTACGTCTGCCCCCTAAAACTTTTCTTCCTTGACCGCGATATAGCAAGCGTGGCACCTGGGCACCCCAAGGGGGAGCCGCCGGGGTATGTTTCATTGGCCCGTTCACGCCCAGATTGTGGGGATGTCACGGACGGTTTGCCTGTTTTGTCCCTCAAGTTTCTTTCATTTTTGTTGGTTCGCTAGTCACCCCGATTGCGCGGGCGCTGCACTTGAGCACGCCAAGGGGGGGCCGCCAGGGGTGGGGACACTCTGGGATTCGAGCCCAGATTGCGGGGATGTCCCAAGCGGTTTGCCCGCCGCCCCCCAGGTTTTTGTTTGAACTTACATGTTCCTCAGTAGTTCACTCAAGTCTTCCTCTTTCTTCATTTCCTTCTCCTCAGTTAGACGCACCCATCCACACTCACACTTACTCGCATGTACATATTCCCCATTCACCTCATTCAAACTCACCCATTCAATTCATACTTGCCTATACTCAGACTCAAGGCGCGGAGTGAGCGTGTCCTCAGGTTATCTCGCTACCCCTTTAATCTCAGCCCTCGCTCTTGACGGGTAATCAAAAGGGTCCGGAGCCCCTCGGCCAAAACCCTTGTCGCGTGACTTGTGCGGGCCCGAGAAGGCCCCAAGACAAGCCAGAAGGGCCCCAAAAAGCCGCCAATGCGGTCCAAAAAGAAGCCCCGAGTCGCCGAGCGAACGCTCCAAGACGCTCAAGATGGCCCCCAGACGGCCAAAAAGGCCTCCCAAGAGGGCCCCACGCCAAAATCATTCATGTGCCCTATGGTTTTTGAATGTTGTTGAAAGATGTTGGCGTTTTCGCCTATTCGGACTCCCGACGCTTCCAGAAGGCCGTACAAGCCCCCAGGACCACTCCGAGACGGCCCAAGAATGCCTTAAAACAACCCAAAGTCGCCAGCCGAAGTGGCGCCCAAATTGTCACAAGGGCCCCAAGACGGTCCCATAAGCAGCCCAAAAGAGGGAACACGAACCGAACAAATCCTAGCACTCCGCCCCAAGAAGCCCCCAAGACGCCCCAAAAGGCTTTCACGAGGCCCCAGAAAACCGTCACAAATCCCCAAGGAGGCCCCTAAAAGGCCCCCAAATGGTCCACAAGAAACGCCCAAACTGCCTTCAAGAGGCTTCCGCAAAGCCTCCCTCGCGATTTCAACGAACATCCTATAGGTTTCGTCTTTCATCCCCACAGCCCAGGCCCAGTGGCGGGATGGGCCGAAGGGCATTCGACAACTCACTCGCATTCGATCAAACTCGCACTTACACAAACTCAGATCGACTAGCGCGCAGACAAACTCGCACACATATTCAGTCAGGATCAGGCTCGTCCGCCATGATTCGCCCAAGCTCAGACTACTTGGTACTCAGGATCACTCATATCCAGATTCGAACTCATCGCACTCATTGTCGGACTCAGCCACGCTCAGACTCACGCGCACTCAGACCCACTCGCACTCAGATTCGTACAAAGTCAAACTCCATCATACCCAGATTCGCTCATACTCCGAATCGCTCACGCTCAGATCACTCACCGTCAGACTCGCTGGCAATAAGGCTCACACGCAAATCGCTATCGCAAATCGCTACCCCGAGGCCAGCAGGCGCCGCGAGTAGCACACCTAAGAACGGGCGTAGCAACGCCATGCGCGTTTGTCCGAAGTGCCAGAGTGAGAATGCAAAGGGGAGCCCCCCCACTCGCTGTTCCACTTGTGTTTCCCCCGTATTTCTTGGAAGATGTCCAGAGGAGGATAATATGATTGAAATCGTCGCTGTCGTCGTCATTGTCGCGCCTGCCGCGTACGCGGACTCGCTCTCACACCCAGATGCTCAAAAACAAAGCTCCTCAGCGAGACGTGAAACGAATTATGAAGTCCACATATGGGGATCTCCGCGTCGATTGAATCTACCTTTTGCGCCCACGAACGAGCATGTAATGTGTGCAATGCTGTGCTGGAAACCGATGGGCCCACCATTCTCTTCTATGGGATCCGAACGAGAAGCACACAACTAGAACCGCCAATACAGTCGTCAACACGACAACCCTTAATGGTGTCAACCTTGGAACGATTCTGTATGACTCCTGCTCTCATTATGCAAAGATAAGAAAGCTCAGCCCTGTCCAATGCGCCAGACAACACGTCACTGCTTCTGGCAAGAATACGTGCTGGTGACCCTTGCGACCGCCGTTTTGAAGTAAGAGACTTTGAAATCACGCAATCGACAAGGTGCTGGCAATGATGGCAACCCTCACCCCTGGTCCCCCCCTCTTCGCAGCTCCCGATGCTCACGATCCCGCCCACGGGGCCTGGGCCGTTCCTGGGCTGCCACGGAACCCCGATACGCTGATATGAAGGGACAGCGATCGATCACAACCACATCAAAGACACAGCCTGGGGGATAACCTGCGCATGCCAATAATCGTCAGGACACCGAAGCCAGCTTCGTGCTGGATGTGGTCGCTGTGGCGTCCCATGAAGGCCAAATCGACCACAACCACAACCAAGGTGTTCATGTCGAGGTCGGCGGGTACTTCCCCGACAAGCCACCCCGAGACATCCACTTGTTTGTGGTTGTGGCTCTGTGTGGCGCCCAGACCCCAGATTGTATCCGCCCACCTGAATTTTACAACGCGCGGCGCAGAGGCCCCGACCGCTTCCCCACGGGAAGCTGCTCGTCCTGATTCCCTGGAGGGGGAAGTGAGAAGAGGCGTGCCTGCCCAGAGAGCTCAGAAGTCCCTCGGCCTTCTGGGAAGTTTTCCAGGCCTTCCCCGAAGGAGCAGGAAACCTCTCAGAAGGCGCGGGGGCATCTGAGAAGTCCCGCCGCCTTCTGAGAAGGCCTCGTCCTTCTCACTTCCCCCCCTCGCTGGCCGCCGAGAGGCGAGGAAAGGAGAGGAAAGGAGTGGAGAGGCGCGGCGCTGCGAATCCGGAGCGGGGGCCCCAGCTCGAGGGAGGGCTCGGGACGAATCCGATCGTCGGAGAGCTGGGCCGTCGGTCGCCGAAGGCTCGCGCGCCGCCGACGCCGCTGACGCCGCCGCCGCCGCCGCCGACGACGACTGCGCTGTGGCATCCTCTGGCCACGATGTATCCAGCCCCTGCGCGGGAGCAGCGACGGCGTTGTAGTGGACCATCTGCGGCGGAAAGGCGGGGAAGAGGGGGCCGGGTTGGGACGCTACGGCGAAGAGGGGGGGGGGGGAGTAGACTGGATGTGGGGTCAAGGACGGGAGATTCGCCCCCAATGTTGGCGCCGGTCGCTCCTGTTGGGCCTCCTGGGGGCCCGTGTCGCCGCCGCTGGTTTCGACCCGAACCCTGGTCGGATCGCGCCCATGAAGACGTCTGGGGACCGACTCTGGAGGAGAAGCGTCGCCCAAGAGATGGGGGGCGAGGAGCTGGCTCTGCAGCTCATTGCTACGCAAGGGTCCATATATACATATATATATATACACATACATACATACACACAGTTATTATTATATATATATATATATATACACGTACGTCGGAGGTTGGGGGGGTGAGCCCGACGTGAAACGGACACCCCCCCCACCGGGAAATCGATTCCGGTTTCGGGTTCGCGTCGCGCGCGCCGCGCGCGCGTGCGGGCGAGCGTGAGCGGGCGCGAATAGGAGCCAGAAAAAAATCACAAAAGGAATTTCACACAAAAGGTTTTGGCACCACCAGCGGTGCAACGCATGTGCACACATGCCACTGGATCCCCACCGATCCGAACCAGGGTTGATGCACGGCCGTGCTCTAGGATGCAGTTGACACGTGTGGCGTGGCAAGGCTTTCGGCGGCGACACGATCCGAATATCCGCTACCAACAAACATTCCATGGTGGTTTGGCACAGCCAAACCACCATGCAACGTCAGTTTGTTCATCCGTTGACAGCAGCACGCGTCGCGGCAGCAGAACGCACTAGCGCGCAAGGGCATGCAGGGCCGGCGATGTGGCTGGCCAGCTTCCAGCGCGAATTCGGCAGAAGAGCCGAAATCCTCGTAGGATCGTTTTAGGCGTGGTATCCAGCGCAGCTGCATCGCACTGCCAGGCGCCGCGACCTTGTGATTGTAGCGCCAGGCCCCGTGCGCTCCTCGAGGTGGGAAAGCAGGCCCTACACAAAGGAATCGCGCGTGCTCGTGTGGGGGCGGCGAAAACGATCGTACGCAAAGGAAATTCCTTTGCGTGCCCCTCGCGTTGGCAACGTAACCAGACCGCACACAAAGGAATTACGCAAGACTTCGTAGCACACAAAGGAATTACAGCAACGCCCTTTGGGTTGCGCTCTTCGCGCGCGGTGACAGCTCCGAACTGGAAAGCAAGGGGGGCGGGACAAGGCAAAGCAGGGGAAAAGGAAAAGGAAGAGGAGGGCGAGAAAGAAGCGAGGGAAGCAACGGAAGGAAGCCAGGATGCGCGCAAGCGAAGCTAACGCTGCGCGTCGAGACAGTTGCTCGTTCGTTCGGTGGGCCGTGCGGCAGATGAATAGAAAAGAATTGCTTGCTGCATATCGAAGGGACTTCTTGGGAATGAGACTCGCGCTTTCTTCCTAACCCCCTTTCCCACGCCCCGTTGCGAGCGCGCGACGATTTGTTTTGGTCCGCGGGCAGAGGACTGCCAGTTGCTGGTGGGCGGCCTTTCCACCCGTCACGCGTTCCGAACAAATGCGACCAGCTAAACGCGCTTGCCACGCAAACCGCCAGCTCCAAACACCGACGCCACCCCGATCCCCGCATCCGTGCCAGGCACCCTCTCAACGACGCCCCCTTCCGGCGTAAAACCAATAAAACCCTTTGTGCTTATGTGTTTTTTCCTGTTCTGAGAGAAGAAATCCTCCTGTGGCTGGGCCGCGGCCGGTCCAAATGTAACTCCTCCGGCGGCCAGTGCCGTGCAGTGTCCCGCTGTTGTCCCGACCTCCTGTGGATGGGCCGCGGCTGGACCTTATGTTTCTCCTCCGGCGGCCGTTGCCGCGCGGTGTCCCGCCGGTGTCCCGCTGTGTCCCGTTGATTGAGATCGATACTGAGATCGATACTGAGATCGATACTGAGATCGACGTGGTGCCCCGAGGTGTCCCGTGGTGTCCCGTTGAGTGAGATCGATAATGCGATCGATACTGAGATCGACAGGTGTCCGGTGGTATCCCGTGGTGTCCCGTTGAGTGAGATCGACAGCGAGATCGATCGTGAGATCGATGTGGAACCCCGAGGTGTCCCGTGGTGTCCCGCTTAGTGAGATCGATACTGAAATCGACAGGTGTCCCGAGGTGTCCCGTGGTGCCCCGTTGAGTGAGATCGATAGCGTGGCATCGATAGTGAGATCGATGTGGTGTCCCGAGATGTCACTTGGTATCCTATGGTGCCCCGCTGAGTGAGATCGATAGTGAGATCGATAATGAGACCGATAGTGAGATCGAGAGGTGTCCCGCGGTGTCCCGTGTTGTCCAGGTGGTGTCCCGTGGAGTGAGATCGATAATGAGATCGATAGTGAGATCGACAGGTGTCCCGTGGTGTCCCGTTGAGTGAGATCGATAGTGATATCGATCGTGAGATCGATAGTGGGATCGATGTGGTGTCCCGAGGTGTCCCGTGGTGTCCTATGGTGTCCCACTGAGTGAGATCGACAGCGAGATCGATAATAGTGATTACAATAGTGAGATCAAAAAGTGTCCCATGGTGTCCCGTTGAGTGAGATCGATAATGAGATCGACAAGTGTCCCGTGGTGTCCCGTTGATTGAGATCGATAGTGAGATCGATTGAGTCACATGTTGGTTCACCCCTCCCCCCCCCCTCAACCTCCTTATCACCCGAAGGGTGGTCGTATAGGTATGTATATATAGAGGTTGGGGGGTGAGATCGCAGGAGAGCCCCCCACCAGGAAATCGGTTTCGGCTTCGTGTTCGTGTCGTGCGTGCGCGGCAAAGCTGCGTGGGCGCCCAAGATAAATAATGCCGCCGTGGCTTGGGGCTGTGGAATCGGTTTTCCGTCCCCCCCTCCACTGGCGCGACGTGGCCGTGGGTGTCCCGTCGGTGGCCCGTCGGTGTCCCGTCGATGTCCTGTTGATGCCCCGTTGGTGTCCCGTCGGTGTCCCGTCGATGTCCCGCCAATGTCCTACTGATGTCCCGTCGGTGTCCCGTCGGTGCCCCGTTGGTGTCCCGTCGGTGTCCCGTCGGTGTCCCGCCGGTGCCCCGTTGGTGTCCCGTCGGTGTCCCGTCGGTGTCCCGCCGGTGTCCTGTTGATGTTCCGTCGGTGTCTCGTCGGTGCCCCGTTGGTGTCCCGTATGTGTCCCGTCGGTGTCCCATCGGTGTCCTATTGATGTCCTTTCGGTTTTCCGTTGGTGCCCGGTTGGTGTCCCGTCGGTGTCCCGTCGTTGTCCCGCCGTGGTGTCCCGTCGGTGTCCTTTCACTGTCCCGTTGGTGTCCCGTCGGTGTCCCGTCGGTGTCCCGTTGGTGTCTCATCGGTGTCCCGTCGGTGTCCCGTCGGTGTCCCGTCGGTGTCCCGTCGGTGTCCTGTTGGTGCCCCGTCGGTGCCACGTTGGTGTCCCGTCGGTGTCCCGTCGGTGTCCCGTATGTGTCCCGTCGGTGTCCCGCCGTGGTGTCCAGTCGGTGTCCCGTCGGTGCCCCGTTGGTGTCCCGTCGGAGCCCCGTGGGTGTCCCTTCGGTGTCCCGTCGGTGTCCCGTCGGTGTCCCGTCGGTGTCCCGTCGGTGTCTCGTCGGCGTCCCGTCGGTGTCCCGTCGGTGTCCCGTCGGCGTCCAGACGATGTCCCGTCGGTACCCCGTTGGTGTCCCGTCGGTGTCCCGTCAGTGTCCCGTGGTGAGATCGATCGTGAGATTGATAATGAGATCGACAGTGAGACCGATAATGAGATCGATGATAAGATCAGGGCGATAGTCACTTTGATCGTGAGATCAACTGTGAGATCAACTGTGAGATCGTCAGGTTTGCGGGCGAGGCGAAATTGCGTGGGCGCGCGAGAGGAACGATGCCGCCGTAGCTAGGGCGATTCGGTTGCAGTGGACGTGGACCGCCCCTCCGTCCCAGGTGGGCGCGCGGTAACCCGGAGTGTCCCGCCGTGGTGTCCTTTGGTGTCCCGTTGGTGTCCCGTCGGTGTTCCGTCGGCAATGGGCGGGCGTATATAATTGCCGGGGCGGGTTGTTCTTGTCACGCGCGGCGCGGTTGCCAAGGCCACCTGCGCAACTGAAGTGGCGCGCAGCAAGTGGGGGTTGCCAATGCCACTTGTGCAACTGAAGCGGCGCGCAGCAAGTGGAGCAAGTGAAGTGGCGGGGGAGGAAAAGGAGGAGGAGGAAAGGAGGAGGAGGAGAAGGGGGAAAGGGGAAGGGGGGGGAGGAGGAGGAGAAGGAGGAGGAGGAGGAGGAGGAGGACGAGGAGGACGAGGACCAGGAAGAGGAGGAGGAGGAGGAGGAGGAGGAGGAAGAGGGGAGGAGGAGAGGAGGTGGAGGAGGAGGAGGAGGAGGAGAGGTGGATCAGGAGGAGGAGGAGGAGGAGGAAGAGGCTCAGGGGAGGAGGAGGAGGAGGAGGAGGAGGAGGCGGAGGAGGAGGAGGAGGAGGAGGAGGAGGAGGAAAAGGGGGACATGGGCCATTGTTCCGGCACGTGGTCGGCGTTTGGAATGGCCCCGACAGCTCCCACTTGGGCGCCGCGAGCCGCGCAGCCAAGGACTACAAAAAGAAGGAGGAGGAGGGGGAGGGGGAGGAGGAGGAGGAGGGCAGGGAGGAGGAAGAAGAGGAGGAGGAAGGAGGGGAGAAGCAGCAGCAGCAGCAGCAGCAGCAACAGCAGCGGGACAGCAGGCTGTTGGCATGCACGGGCAACTGCGAAAGCAACATGTACGCTCCTGCACGCCATCGCATAGCCAGGCCAGGTCAACGGACCCTGGCCAATGCTCTTGCGCGGATGACTCACGGGGTCCCGGGGTCAACGAAGCGCAACTTTGAGCGAGTCCCTCGGAAGTTCGAAGTGACAAAATCTAGGCCGTTTGGCGTCGACCGCTTGCCCTGGGCGATACGTTCGAGGCAGGCCCAATCAGAAAGAGCATCGGCGCCATGAGATAAACGCTACCAAGGTACACGCGAAAGGTCATGGGTGAACGCTGAGCCAAACGGGCCATATCAAAACAACGAAAAGGCAGTGCGGCTGCCGAGACCAGCAAGCATGGGGAACTGACAACGAAAAAGAGAGAGAGAGAGAGAGAGAGAGAGAGAGAGAGAGAGAGTGATAACAACAAATGATGAGACCAGAGGGGGCAGGAATAATGATGGCAGCACATCGTTCCTCGAGGCATCCTGCGACGACAGAGAAGGGGAGAGGGGAAGACAACGAGAGCAGTGGACAGCGACAAAGGCCAACGCTGAAAATGTTCACTGTTGCGGCTGGTTGTTTTTTCTTGCGCTGACGCCGCGCCCCAAGACGCATTCGGATCACGAATGCCTGGCTGCCCCAAAACACAACTCGCAAAGTAACGCGAGCCACTATCCCCCTCTCCGCCCTGCCCCGGCCACGACATGTCCGACGCCATGCCTTGGCAGCCCTGCCTGGTGAATGTCGGGCGCCCCTGACGGATGGCTAGCGCCAACTCTCGCCGGTGACCTTCGAGTGCGTCCTGCAACCCGCGTCGCCGATCTGGATGGGGGGGGGCCAGTGCGTTAACCCATGCTCGCGCGGAAGACGACCCAATAAGGGGAAACAACACTTTGTTAACATGTGTCCAAGGTCCCACAAAACAACCGATCTGGATGGGGGGGCCAAATTTGTTAACCCATACTCGCACAGTAAACCACCCGAAGGGCGGGGCCACTTTGCTAATGTGTGCCCAGACCCCGCGATGATTTCGATCAGGATGGGGGGGGGGGGGGGGGCAATGCGTTAACCCATGCTCGCACGGCGAACGATCCAAGAGGGGGCTACTTTGTTAACGTGTGCCCAGACGCCGCGATGATATCGATCAGGATGGGGGCGGGCCCCAATCCCATAGGGAAAATCAATGTCTGCTGCCTTTTCGCGGTTTCGCTTCCGATGGGCCGAGGCGTCAAGATGGCCCCAAAATCGCCCAACATAGCGCCGAGAAAAGCACGAGAGGGCCCCAATACGGTCTCAAGAGCGCCCAAGGGCGCCCCAAGACTGGGCCCCAAGACGCCTTGTTTGGGCCTCCGAAGGGGGGGGGGGGGGGGGAAATTTAGTACCCCCCCCTTTTTGCGCAGGTGGTGTAGATCGTTTCCTGTCTTCTCGCTTCCAAGAAGATGCCCTCTCCCCACCCCCCACCCCCCGCCCCTCGCATGGGCTTCCTGCAAAGACGGACGGACGGGCCTGGGCGCCCGAGCGGCCGCCAGAGACGGAGGAGGAGGAAAAGGAGGAGGAGGACGATGGGGAAGAGGAAGAGGAGGAGGAGGAGGAGGAGGAGGAGGAGGAGGAGGAGGAGGACGATGGGGGAGGAGGAGGAGGAGGAGGAGGAGGAGGAGGAGGAGGAGGAGGAGGAGGAGGAGGAGGAGGAGGAGGAGGAGGAGGAGAGTTGCGAGGATGTCTTAGGCGAAACGGGCTGGAACAGCTTTCGCGCGGCACCTCGGAACCCAGAGTTTGGGGGATGTCTCAGGCCAAACGGCACGGATCACCTCGCGAACAGCATCTCGGAGCCCAGAGTTGGGAGGATGTCTCTGGCGAAACGGCCCGGACTACCCGCCGCCGCCGCCGTCGCCATCGTCGTCGTCGTCGCGCTCCACTTTGTTCACTGGTTGCCTGTGGTTCTTCGGGGACTCGCCCCTCGGAAGAACCACAGGCAACCAGTGAACACCTCATTGTCGTCGTCGTCGCCGCCGCCGCCGTCGTCGCGGTCGTCGTCGTCGTGGTCGTCGTTGGCGTCGTCGTCGTCGGCGGCGGCGGTTTTCGGGCCATAGCTCGGGCCTCTGGCGGCCGCTCGGGCGCCCAGGCCCGTCCGTCTCCTGCAAACGCCCTGCGTCGCCGCATGAGCATCCTGCAAAGACCATGCAATGCCCCTGCAAAGCCCCCTCAGCAAAGCCCCCCCTGCAAAAAGGACCCTGCGCTACCCCAAAGCGACCCTGCGATGCCCTGCGAAGCCCACCCGGCAAAAACCATGTGAAACCCCTGCAAAGACCCTGCGACGACCCTGCAAACGCCATGCAAAAGCCCTGCAATTGCCCTGCAATGGCCCTGCAGATGCCCTGCATCCCACCAGTCCTGTGGGCGCAGGAGGTCTAAGGCGTTTTCTTTTCAAGCCTCCTTCTTTTTTTCCTTGCGGCAGATGATCCAAGAGGGTGGAACACCATTGCGTTAACGCGACCCCACAAGGTCACCGATCTGACAAGTGGGCGACTGCGACTGTTAACCCATGCTCGCACGGTAGACGATCCAAAGGGCGGGGCCACTTCGTCAACATGCACATAAACCCCACGGCGACATCGATCTAGGTCGGGGGGAAACCCAATGTGTTAACGCATGCTCGCGCGGTCGACGACCCAAGAGGGAGGGAAACCCGATGTGTCGACGTGCGCCCAAGACCCCGCAGGGCCACCGATCTCGATGGGGAAATCCCGACTTGTCAACGAATGCTCGCACGGTTGACCATCCAAAGGGATGCACTTTAGAAACATATGCCCTGGCCGCGGGGCCGATGGCAGGGGGGGCGAGCGGCCCACTGCACCGACCCCTTGGGGACTGAGAGGGCACGGGCGCCATTGCCCCTTGCCCTCGCCCCCTGCCCCCCTCCCCCCCCATCCCCGCCCAGCCCGCCCACTTCCGAGGCCCCCACCCCCATTATCCTCCGCCTCCTCCTTTCCCCCTCGCCCTCCCCCCACCCCCCTGCCGCCGATCCCGACCCCCCTCCTCCATCGTTGGATGCTCGTTCTGGGGGCCCTCCTGGAGCCACTCGCTCCACTCGCGCGTCGAAATTGCGTCGAACGTCAGTCGGGTTGGGTCGACCCTGAGTCGAACCTGAGTCGAACTTGAGTCGAACATGAGTCGAACTGGGGTCGAACAGATCCGTTAGGTGGGCCCCAGGAAGGTCCCCGAAACGAGCATCGAACCATCGCGCACGGCGCGGCGCTCTGCCCGAGCCCGCGCGACAAAAGCGCCCCAACAGATTGGGCGCCTCGTTCGCGGACGCGTTGGTCCGATACCATAGGGCGACGAGATCTATACATATCCACTGCTCCCTGGCCAGGCCTATCCTGGACCCGCCAGCGGCGCATGCGCCACGCGCTCCTGGCTTGGCCAGGAGGGCAGATACACAGCTGCTGGTTTCAGGATGGGCCTGGCCAGGGAGCAGTGGACATGCATAGATCTCGTCGCCCAATACCAACGCCCTTCACCCAACAGCCCGTCGAGTCAGTCGCCTACGCGGCGGCCGCCGGCTGCCCGCCCGTCTCCTCCTGCGCGGACTCCGCCTGCGGCGACTTCTTCTTGCCGCCGTACTTGCCCCACTTGTTCGCCACTGAAGCTTTCGCCGCAACGCCTGAGCTGCCCGCCGCCATGGTCGGCTCCGCGTTGGCGTCGCTGCCCGGGTAGACCGATACCGCCTCCTCCTTCAATTTGGCGCCATCCCCCTGTGCGTGCTCGTGCTCGGCGCCATCCCCCTGTGCGCGCTCGCGCTCCTCCGCCTTGACCTCGGGGGGCGGCAGCGGGGCCGGCGCCGACCCCGGCGCCGCCTGGGTGTCCACAGGCTGCCCAGTCATGGCTTCGAACACCGTCGTCACGTACTTGACCTGTCTGGGATCTGGGACGCCGTTTGCGATCACGTTGCACAGGGCCCTGAAGCTCTCGGCCGCGGCGGACTGCGGGGCGACGCGCGGCAGACAACTGCAGCGAATTCCAAAATTGTCTTCCAAGCCGATGGGCTTCTCAATTACCCAGAAACCGACGGGCATGTACAGAACTGAACTTGGTTCTACGATGGTGTGGAAGAGTCTGGCCCCGCGCCCGCGCAGCGCGTCCACGATCTTCTGGTCCGCGTACTTGAAGATGTTGCTTAAGTCAGTGCTGGTCGGCTTCCTGATCACAGGCTCCGCCTCCTCCTGGACAAAGCCGACAACGTCCTCCACTCTGGCTGCGATCACCAAGCGCCTGCCTGCGAGTTGAAGCCTGAGTGACCCGAGGGAGTGCGTCTCCGTGCCGCTGTTGCGCAAACTAACAGAGTAGCCAAACACGCTCACGCTCCTGAGGGCGCTGGTGTAGCTCGTCGTCGCCAGGTCCTCGCAGCAAGACTCAGAGGGAGGGCCGAAGTTGCTGAGCCCAGTCCGCAAGGCCTCGGCTTGAGGCAACCCCCACGTGGATTTCCCCTTCGCCTTCACAGGCTCGCTCGTGGGAAAACCCATCTTCCACGCGCTGGTCACTGCAACGGCCTCCTTGCAATCTGTGAAGAAGGCCGTGTCCACGTTGCTCACGACATGGGGGAGCTGGCAATCAACCTCGGACTGCTTGAACTCAACGGCCGAGGTCTTGGAGATCTCGACGTGGTGCTTCAAGTCGCACGTGAGGATGGTCCAGGCTGCCTTCGGCGCCAGGGCAGCCGCCGGCTGCTGCGCTGCCCTCTTCCTCGCCTCCTGCGCTGCCTTCTCAGCCTTTTTCTTCTCTTCCTTTTCGAACTTGGCGCGCTCCTGGGCGGCCTGCTTCGCGGCCTGGGTAGCTTTCTGGGCTTTGCGTTTCTCCGCGGACGCCTTCCTGGCGACGAGGTCCTTCTCGGCAGTCTTCGTGGCCTGGGTGAGCTCCAGAAGCCTCTGGACCTTCTCCTTCCAGAGCGCCACGGCGGCCTTCAGCTCCTCCGCGCTGCTCACCTCGGCCCCCGCGTTGGCGGCGTCAACGCAGAGCCTGGCCACGGTGAGGGTCTCCGCGAAGCCGGCGCACGGCATTGCGAGGCCCTTGCTCTTCAGCCAGTCGCAGAGCGTCTGAACGGCGACCGAGTCACCAGCCAGCGCAGCATCAAAAGCAGCATCAGCGCCCTCGGTGCAATGCGAAGGAGCATAATATTTGCCCATCGCCGCCTTCAGCCCAGAGCCAAGGACGACGCGCAAGGCAAGCACGCGCCCCGCGAGAGTGAAGTGGTACTCCCTGTAATCGTCACTGGCCAGCTCCTCGCTGGAGAAAGCGCCCCAGGCCTTCTCGGCCGAGCACAAGGTCTCCTCGAGATTCGCCCTGATTCCCTTGGTCTGGTCGCGGCAACTGGAACGAAACTGATTCCGCTTGGACTCTGCGTCGAACTTGGCCTTCTTCACGGCGGGGCCATCGCCGTCGGCATCCGAGAGTGCGCTGCTGCCTGCGCTGGCGCTGGTGGCAGCCCGACGGGCACCTTTCTTCTCGGCACCTCGACTCATGTCGCGCTGGCCAGTCCAGCGCGCCTGCGCCGTGGATGCGCCGATGACCTTACTGGCGCCCTCGCCCAACAAATCACAGAAGAATTCATCGTCGAAGTTAGGCATGTTGGCGCTCAGATTCTCGCGAACTGTTTCGAAATCCTCTTTGAACGCCCGAGATGAGAACGGAAAGAATGGGCACAATGCCCAACAACAAATGTTGTCCCAAACCAACGGAGGCCGCTGTTGAGCAGGCGGCCTTCTGTCTCGAATGGACACAGGCCGCGGCGGCGTGGACAGCGAGTCCTGTTCAAAATGAACAGGAACTGCTGTTGGGAATTGCACCCGTTCTTTCCGTGCAAATTTCGGGCGTCCAGATCCTCCGCTTTAGGTTTCTTCTTTTCTTTTAAACTCCCAGACAACTCGTTCCCTTTCCGCTTCCGGTTGAAAACTAACTCGAAATCCTCCACGGCGACCTTGAGGCGCACCTCCCCGTTCCTGCCCTTCCAATCCCGGGGGCAATCGGCCGCCTCGCACTCCTCCCAAAATCTCTGAGCCTCCGTGGGCGTGTAGCCCTCTTCTTCGGTGAAATGCTTGATGAACCTGAAGTGGGTCATTGGCACTCGTTTCTGACCCTCGTCAACCACCGTAGACGTCTCCCAAACCTCCTTATAGCCCATAATGTCGAACTCGCCTGTGCGGGGATTGCCGCGGGTGGCCTGCCCATCTGGATTCAACTGCTTCTCGCAATCGAAGATGACGATGCGCAGCTTCGTCGGGTCAGCCATCTTCTCCAACTCAGAAAAATATGTCGTGGACTCTTCATCCACGCAGATGGCCCGCTTCGCCGCTTCCACCTTCTGACGGCACTTCTTGCAATAGGTGTGCTTGCCTGCTTTCGGTGCCGAACAACAAAGTTTGCACATATTAGCTGCTTTTGCAGGGAGGCTGAAGATCGCCTGTCGCTCGGGGTCCGCGCCCGACGCGAGGTCCATCCCCTTCGGATCCTTCAGGATGCGCTGACCACGAGTTGCCATCATCTGCAGGTGCGGCTCGGGAGGCGGCGGCGCCGCTGCAAGCCCATCGCCCCCGTGCTCACTCTCGCCGACGTCAGCCTCCGGGAGCTCGCCGTCGTCGACAACGTATCTCTCGTCGGCCTTGGAAACCATGGTAATCCAGGGCCCAGAGTGCAGTGCAGTGCGTCGGCAGATCGATCCGCACTTCAGCCTCGGTAGCTGCGCAGGCGGAGCAAGCAAACTCAACTCGGCTCTTGAACCAAACCAGCCAGGAGGAGGAGGAGGAGGAAGGAGGACAAGGGAACGCGACTCGACTCCGCGCAACTCGCGGCGAGGAAGAAGGCTTACTGGGGAAGTACAATGTCCCCCCCTCGACTTGAAGTTCTCCAACTAAGCTCGCCCTATAGGAGTCCCAACTCAAACCCAACTAATTGGTCCGTCGTTGCCCCCCCTTCAATTCCGATGCCCCCCCTATTCCTATGGCTGTGCCTATGCCTGTGCCTAAGACCCACCCGAACTCCTATGCCTACGCCCATGTCTATGCCTATGTTTATGCTCGCTTGCGCTTGATTGCTTCCGCGTGCTTGCTTGCGCTTGCTTGATTTTGGTCCTCCAGCCCCCCTCCCGTCCTGCCCCCGCCCTCCTCCCATCCTCCTCTCGCCATCCTCCTGTCCTCCTATTTATTTGGAGTCAACGCTGGCTGAAACGCCGGCTGATATGGTTCCCCCCGCCGTCTCTACATTCAATCTCTCCCCCACCCCCAGGGCGGGGAGGGGCAAAGTAACGAAGGGGCCCGAGAGAGGCGCCCTCGGCTGTCCCCCAGGACGGGGGACAGCCCGGAACATGAATGTCGGAACCATCCTGGGCCTTGCTAGGTCCTCCTGGGAGCCTCTGGTGGGGCCCTCTCGGAGCATCTTGGAGCCCTCGGGGGCCCTCTGGGGCCCTCCGCAGGCAGGGCCCTCAGACGGCCCCAAGAGGGCCCCGAGAAGATCCCGCGAGGCTCCTAGAAGGCCCACTGAGGGGCCCAGGAAAATCTCACGAGAACGTCCCGTTCTCGTAAGAGCGGGCGCGCCATCTTGCGAGAACGCCCACGTTCTCGCAAAAGCGGGCGCGCCATCTTACGAGAACGTCCCGTTCTCGCAAGAGCGGGCGCGCCATCTTGCGAGAACGTCCACGTTCTCGCACGAGCGGGCGCGCCATCCCACGAGAACGTCCCGTTCTCGCAAGAGCGGGCGCGCCATCTTACGAGAACGCCCACGTTCTCGCAAGAGCGGGCGCGCCATCTTACGAGAACGTCCCGTTCTCGCAAGAGCGGGCGCGCCATCTTGCGAGAACGTCCACGTTCTCGCAAGAGCGGGCGCGGCAAGAGCGGGCGCGCCTTCTTGCGAGAACGTCCCGTTCTCGCAAGAGCGGGCGCGCCATCTTGCGAGAACGTCCACGTTCTCGCAAGAGCGGGCGCGCCATCTTACGAGAACGTCCCGTTCTCGCAAGAGCGGGCGCGCCATCCTGCGAGAACGTCCACGTTCTCGCAAGAGCGGGCGCGCCATCTTACGAGAACGTCCACGTTCTCGCAACAACGGGAGCCCCAAAGCAAGATACACGGAAGGCTTTCGTGCATCTTGCTTTGGGGCCCTCTTGGAGCCGTCTTGGGGCCCGCTTGGGACCCTCGGGAAGGTTTCGGAGGGGCCCAACGGGGGCCCTCTTGGGGCCCTCTTGGGGCCCCCTTGGGAGCCCTCTTGGAGCCCTCTTGGGGCCCTCTGGGGAGCCCTTTTGGGGCTCCTTCTCGTCCTCATCATTCTCCTCCTACTCCTCCTTCTCTTCCTCATCATCCTATGCATCATCCCTCTCCCCACTCCCTCATCCATCCATCCAGCTTCCTTCTCCTCCCCCTCCTTCGCACGGTTCGGAGATCCCCTTCTTTGCTCCCGCACTTCCTGATCACCTCAACGCGCCTGGGCGTCGTTCCTGGATGGGCTGGTGGGGATACGCAAAGCGTCAAGAATTTCTCATCCCCCCCTCCATCGAAGGTGCCGCCAGATATATACAGCTTCCCCTAATCCCAATGCAGACTGAGCCGGGCGTCGCGAGAACCATGCGGAACCGTTGCAACAAATTTAGAATTTCTAAATTTGTTTAGAATAAGTCGCTGCGCGGGTTCTCCTCTTCCTTGTGCTCCTCCTCCGCCCTCATATTATATTCTAAGCCGCTCGAGGCGCAAAGTTCTTATGCCCCAGCGCCTTACCTTGCTTTGGGGCATAAGAACTGATATGGCTGCTGATGTTCCTCTCCGCCACCTCAATTCCGCCGCAGTGGGGCTCGACGTTTCAGCGCTTTCGGTCCCGCGCCCGGTTGCGGCGACGCAAATGGCAGGACGACGACGACGTCGACGACGACGACGACGACGCTGACCACGACGACGACGACGAGAAAATCGAGGGTGGGGACGAGGACGACGGCGCGACGCGACCCGGCCAACCAACCTGACGAACCAGACGAACCAGACGAACCAGACCAGCCAGACCAACCAGACCAATCAGACCAGCCAGACCAAGCATACCAGCCAGAACCGAACGCGCCAGACTAACCGGGCCAACCAACCAAACCAATTAAAGGAAGTAGACGAAGCAGACCAGCCAGACCAAGCAGACCAGGCAGACCAATCAATGAGACCAGACCTGTAGACCAACCGATCAGGCCAGACAGACCAGACCAGACCAGCCAGACCAAACAGACCAGCCAGACAAGACCAGCTAGACCAGCTACACCAGCCAGACCAACCCCAACCAGACCAGCTTGACGGGCCGGACCAGCCAGACCAACCAACCAGACCAACAAGACCAGACCAGCCAGACTAACCAGACCAACCAAACGAAGCAGACCAGCCAGACCAACCAGACCAACCACACCAGCTAGACTAAGCAGACAGCAGAACAAGTAGACCAAGCAACCAGACCAGCTTGGCCAGTCGATCCGGTCAGGCAGACCAAACCAGACCAGACCAGCCAGACCAACCAGTCCATCCAGAGCAGACCAGACCAGCCAGACCAGCCAGACCAATCAACCAGACCAGACCACCCAGACGAACCCGACCAGCCAGACCAACGCGACAGACCAACCAGACCAACGAGACCAGCCAGAGCAGACCAGACAAGACCAACCAGACCAACGAGACCAACGAGAAAAAACATACCAGCCAGACCAAGCAGACCAGCTTGACCAGTCGATCCGGTCAGGCAGACCAAACCAGACCAGACCAGCCAGACCAACCAGTCCATCCAGAGCAGACCAGACCAGCCAGACCAGCCAGACCAATCAACCAGCCAGACCAATCAATGAGACCAACCAGACGAAACCAGCTAGACCAACGAGACCAACGAGCAAAAAAACAGCCAGACCAAGCAGACCAGCTAGACCAACCAGACCAGTCAGACCAATTAGACCAGCCTGGTGCAAAAAACAAACCAGCACTGGGCTCAAAGCAGACCAGCCAGACCAGCCAGACCAGATGCAAACAAACTGCAATGCAAAAAAAAACTGCAATGCAAAAACAAAAACTGCAATGCAAAAAAAACTGCAATGCAAAAAAAAACTGCAATGCCAAAAAAAGCTGCTTCTCGGTCGTGGTAGTGGTTGTCGCTGCCTCCCCGGACCTCCCCTAAACCACTCTCGCCTGAATCCTAAGCTAAAGCCTCAGCACCAGGCTCAAACCAAACCAGACCAGCCAGACCAGATGCAACAAAAAACTGCAATGCAAAAAAACGGCAATGCAAAGAACACTGTTTTTCGGTGGTAGTGGTTGTCGCTGCCTCCCCGGACCTCCCCTAAACCACTCTCGCCTGAAACCTAAGCTAAAGCCTCAGCACCAAACTCAAACTGGACCAACCAGACCAGCCAGACCAACCAGACTAGTCAGACCAGATGCAACTCCGACCAGATGCAACTCCGACCAACTTGTGCTTTGGAAGCTTGGCGTCCCTCCGTGCGCTACAACGGCTAAGAACTTTATCAGTGCTGACGCACCCGCCCACCCAGTCCCAGTTTATTCTAAGCCGCTCGAGGCGCAAAGTTCTTATGCCCCAGCGCCTTACCTTGCTTTGGGGCATAAGAACTGATATGGCTGCTGATGTTCCTCTCCGCCACCTCAATTCCGCCGCAGTGGGGCTCGACGTTTCAGCGCTTTCGGTCCCGCGCCCGGTTGCGGCGACGCAAATGGCAGGACGACGACGACGTCGACGACGACGACGACGACGCTGACCACGACGACGACGACGAGAAAATCGAGGGTGGGGACGAGGACGACGGCGCGACGCGACCCGGCCAACCAACCTGACGAACCAGACGAACCAGACGAACCAGACCAGCCAGACCAACCAGACCAATCAGACCAGCCAGACCAAGCATACCAGCCAGAACCGAACGCGCCAGACTAACCGGGCCAACCAACCAAACCAATTAAAGGAAGTAGACGAAGCAGACCAGCCAGACCAAGCAGACCAGGCAGACCAATCAATGAGACCAGACCTGTAGACCAACCGATCAGGCCAGACAGACCAGACCAGACCAGCCAGACCAAACAGACCAGCCAGACAAGACCAGCTAGACCAGCTACACCAGCCAGACCAACCCCAACCAGACCAGCTTGACGGGCCGGACCAGCCAGACCAACCAACCAGACCAACAAGACCAGACCAGCCAGACTAACCAGACCAACCAAACGAAGCAGACCAGCCAGACCAACCAGACCAACCACACCAGCTAGACTAAGCAGACAGCAGAACAAGTAGACCAAGCAACCAGACCAGCTTGGCCAGTCGATCCGGTCAGGCAGACCAAACCAGACCAGACCAGCCAGACCAACCAGTCCATCCAGAGCAGACCAGACCAGCCAGACCAGCCAGACCAATCAACCAGACCAGACCACCCAGACGAACCCGACCAGCCAGACCAACGCGACAGACCAACCAGACCAACGAGACCAGCCAGAGCAGACCAGACAAGACCAACCAGACCAACGAGACCAACGAGAAAAAACATACCAGCCAGACCAAGCAGACCAGCTTGACCAGTCGATCCGGTCAGGCAGACCAAACCAGACCAGACCAGCCAGACCAACCAGTCCATCCAGAGCAGACCAGACCAGCCAGACCACCACCAATCAACCAGCCAGACCAATCAATGAGACCAACCAGACGAAACCAGCTAGACCAACGAGACCAACGAGCAAAAAAACAGCCAGACCAAGCAGACCAGCTAGACCAACCAGACCGACCAGACCAGCCAGACCAATTAGACCAGCCTGGCGAACCAGACCGATAAAGCAACCCGAACCAGACAAACCGAACCAATCGGACGTACCACACCAGACGAACCAGACCAACGAGGTGAACTACTCGACCAACCAGTCGACGCGAGACCAGCCAGACCAGACCAGACTAACACGACCAGAGTAACAAGACCAGGATCGAGGAGCGGCCGCGTTTTTTCTCGACCTGGGCCGTTGTGGAGTACAGCTAAGTAAGCTCCATCGCCGAGCAGCGCCGCGCTGGGGGTCCATGCGTGACCACGTACCCCCCCAGACGGCGCCAGTCTGGAATCGTCAGAGATGGTGATGCTCTTCCTCCTCCCCCTCCTTCTACCCAACGCCATGCCAACGCCAGCTAAAGCCTCAGCACCAGGCTCAGAGCAGACCAACCAGACCAGCCAGACCAGATGCAAAAAAAACTGCAATGCAAAAAAAACTGCAATGCAAAAAAAACTGCTTTTCGGTCGGAGTCGTTGGCGCTGCCTCCCTGGACCTCCCCTAAACCACTCTCGCCTGAATCCTAAGCTAAAGCCTCAGCACCAGGCTCAGACCAGACCAACCAGACCAGCCAGACCAGATGCAAAAAAAACTGCAATGCAAAAAAAAACTGCAATGCACAAAAAACTGCTTTTCGGTCGTCGTCGTTGAAGATGCATCCCTGGACCTCCCCTAAACCACTCTCGCCCGAATCCTAAGCTAAAGCTTCAGCACAAGGCTCCAACCAGACCAGCCAGACCAGATGCAAAAAAAAACTGCAATGCAAAAAAAACTGCAATGCAAAAAAACTGCTTTTCGGTCGTCGTCGTTGAAGATGCATCCCTGGACCTCCCCTAAACCACTCTCGCCCGAATCCTAAGCTAAAGCTTCAGCACAAGGCTCCAACCAGACCAGCCAGACCAGATGCAAAAAAAACTGCAATGCAAAAAAAACTGCAATTCGGTCGTCGTCGTTGAAAATGCATTCCGGGACCTCCCCTAAACCACTCTCGCTTGAATCCTAAGCTAAAGCTTTAGCTAAAGCTTCAGCACCAGGCTCAAACCAGACCAGCCCGACAACTCCGACCAGATACAACTCCGACCAGCTTGTTCTTTGGAAGCTTGGCGTCCCGCCATGCGCTACACGGCTAAGAACTTTATAGTTGAGAACCCGAGGGTGCGGGGTGAGGGGTGTATAGGAGGCCTGTTCCGTGCTAGGTAGTGCCCTGGCCCAGGCTTTCGCCGAGAGCGGCGAACTGAACCCTTGGAGCGGCGTGCCGTGCGTGCTGTGGTTGTGTGAAAAATCGAAATCGTCTGGCCTTTTTCCCGCGCTCCGTCTTAGAATGCATGTTTGCTAACGGGCTTTCTCAGGGAACTCGAGTTTCAGGGCCGCTTGAGCGGCCTCATGTTTCAACTGTGGCCGTGAAAATCCCCCCCCCCTCTGGGCCTCGCCGGGGGTGGGATGGGGGTGGGGGCAGCGCGTGCGAAGCAGCGGTGCAGAGTGTGTCCATTATGTATTGGCTCTAGCTTCCCGACCTTCCGTGCTAGGTAGTGTGGGGGTGTGGGGAGGGGGCGTGGGGTGTATAGGAGGCCTGTTCCGTGCTAGGTAGTGCCCTGGGCCAAGCTTTCGCCGACAGCGGCGAACTGACCCCCCTCCCCCCCCTCTGGGGACGGGGGGGGGCCTCGACGATCATCAAATTATTTATATGCCTCGCAAATCCATGACATGTTTTTCACAGGCGGACTGTTCCCAGAGCATCACAGACGCCGCCACAACAGGCGCCCCAAGAGGGCCCAACTGGCTGGCGAGGACACGCGAAGCGCCAAGCATTAACCAACGCATGCCTATACTGAACAGTACTCCTCGCGGTGTGGGGGCAACTGGAGGAATTGCGTTGCGAATGTCGCATCCATCATGTTTGGCTCAATTTGAGCAGGGACCGACCGTCCCGGCCACGAGATGTTCAAAACAAAAACAATGTTCTTAGATTATAAACCCGGTGTGACAAAACAAGACAGGCTCCACCAGAAATGTTCCACGAACTTTTCGTGGAAACCACAGGAGGTTCTTAGAACATTGTTCCCTACCTAGGCTCTGCCTAAAAGGGTTCTTACCCTCTGTCTTAAAGGGGCCAAGCAGTGGAAAACGTTCCTGGCGGTTCCCCCAGGATCCGCCCCGCGGTTCCCCGAGTTGCGTCCCCTAAACTTAGCGTTGCTGATCTCATCTTAGCTTATGTCTGCTTAGCTTAGCTTATCTTATCTCAGGTGTATCTTAGCTTCGCTTAGCTGTAGCTGTAGCTTAGCTCAGCTTAGCATATCATATCACAACCCAGCACAGCCCAGCATAGCGCAGCATAGCATAGCATAGCATAGCATAGCATAGCATTGCGCTGCATGGCACAGCATATCATAGCATGGCGCATCATAGCATAGCATGTCATAGCCTAGCATAACATAGCGCGGCCTAGCGTAGCGTAGCATAGCGCAGCAAAGCGCGGCATAGCAAAGCGTAGCACGGCATAGCATAGCATAGTGCAGCATCGCATAGCACATCACAGCATAGCAGCAGAGGCAAGTCAACAGCATCAACAGCAACGCCAAGCACAAGCAACGCAAGGCAAAGCAACTCACACGCAAAAGCAAAGCAAAGGAACGGCAACAACAAAGCAATTTGCAACAGTACGATCAGAGAGCCCACCCAGTGAGCGAATGCAAGAACATGCGCGTGTGTGCGCGAAGGCAAAGCAAAAGCAAAACCAAGCAACAGCAAAAACAAGCAAACGCAAAGGCAACTACGACGATGAGAAGAAGCAGGAGGACGGCGTTTACCGTTACTACTGATGCTGCTTTCCTAGAGGCTCCAACTCCTAGGTAGGGTCGCACTGGGGTGATTTGGTAGGGCTATAGGCGACCCAGGACGCTTCGCCACCGCTCGATCAAAATGGATAGGCGGTAGCACCTGAAAAACACGCGCATGCACGTATGTTCCGCGCGGCGAAGACAGCGTCGCGGACACCCCGAACTAACCAGTACGAGATGTGGCTCGCCGAGAAAGCGCGAGGGGCCACAGGAGACTCCACGCGCCGAAAAAAAAAACACAAGCGAGTCACTGGAAACTTCGCAGCGCTGACTCCGATCCTGGGCCAGCGTCGCCAGTCGAGGGTCGGAGTCGGAGTCATAGCTCCCGAAATTCCTGCAGCGCACTTGTAAGCTTGAGTTTCAATAGGGGTTAGACCTGCGGCGCTCGAGCCTCTGGAGGGTGACCGTCGGCAAGATATCGAAGTCATTCCTGGCCCTCGCGGATGACGTCGCATCCACGATGTCATCGGTCTCGCAAAAACCAACAACGTGGAAGGGCAAAGGGCGCTGAGGCCGGCTCGCGGACGCAGGGACAGCATGCGAAAGTGCCCATCCCAGCACAGACCCTGCAACAGCCATGTGCATGCCGTTGCCCGTGAGCAAGCAGCAGTGGGTGTCCGACAGCTGTTCGAATATGTGCTCGAAGGGGCATGCCCAACATGGCCTTGAGCTCGCAGGGCCGCCAAATGCGCCCACCAAGCTCTTGACGGGCACCCCCATGGAACCGTACCTCTCCTTTCCTAGCATAGGCCGTTTCTTCAGGATCGAATACCGCATTCCAGACCGAGTCAAGGTTTGCAGGACGCGGGCCTGCCTCGGCGACTCAACGGGATCTTGAGACAGGTCCACTACCCGAGGCTCTCCCACGCCCAGCTCGCCCATGACGACGCGCCTCCAGTGCTCCTCCCTGTAGCCAGCGAGGTGGCCTATGAGCCACGGCGGCAACGCGTCCTGGCATCGGGGGGGTGGGGGGGCGCGTGGGCGCGCGTGGCCTTGGATGCAGGGCGCAAGTTTGTCAATCGGATTATCTGTTCTCCGGGCGTAGCACCGCGTGCATGTTAGCGCGCGCCTCCGAAATCAAGCCAAAAGGAGCCAACGTGCCCCTAATCCGCTTGAGAAATGTTGCGCGCTTGCACCCCCGTCTCGCCTACAAGCATGCTACGCGATTCAAGCGGATGAGGAGCGCGCCGGCAGCTTTCGGCTTGATTTCAGAGACACGCGCGAACGCGCACGCGGAGCTACACCTGGAGAACAGAGAATCCGATCGGCAAGCTTACACCCTGAATCCATGGTCACGCAGGGCGCCTACGACTGGCATGCATGCACGAGAACTGGTCATAGATCAACGCACGACTAATGTCCCCCGAGTAACTCAGGAATTGCGGGGCCAACGGAGGGGGATAATGCAGGACAGAAGAATGGCAGATGCCCAGGGAAAAGGCCTGGGCGAGAACAGCGCGCCCATCACCTTCCCCAGCCCAAATCGCTTATGCTGAGCGGTCCTCCCATTGCAGAGTCTCCCCAGGCCTTGCGACCACGTGCCGCTGCCTGGCAATGCGCGCGAGGTCCTGGTTGATCTCCTCGTCGGACGCGACGAAGTAGTCGTCTGCGTCTCCGACGACGCGCCGCGCAAAGCACTCCTTCATCTCCGCCAAGGAACCCGTCCTAATCAAACTGGCTCGGCGGTATCCAACGACCCACATGCGCGACCGCATGTGCGGGTGGCCCAAATCGTCTGGCCCTAGCTCGACGTAGTCGACGTCGTACTCGTCGCCGAGCACAGCGAGCAATAAGGAAACCAAAACTTCAGAGAATACGCACTCCAACACCATCAAAGCTTCTTTCTTTGCTTTCCGCTCCGCCAAGTAAGTGATCAGAGTCTTGGCGCGCGGGCCAGCGAGCCCACACTGGTCGCCCCAAGGGGTGTAGTCCAAGCAGGTAGCGCCAGCCGAAGCCACTCTCATGCCCGCCCACGCGCCAGCAACCTCTCCATCAATAACTCGGGGAGGCACGTCGTGAACGAAACAATGGCGGTCATGCTTGTAGCAGCGGGAACTGGCCCCCTCGAAAGCATCGGCACCGAGAAGATCAAACATGCGATTGATTTTCGCCCTCACATCGCGCACGAGCTCCCCTGGATTGCTGGCCGATATGTCATGTTTGGATGGCCGCGTAATGTCATGCAACTGGGCCCGCACGTCTGCGCGGACTCTGTCGTTGAAATCGCCAAAAACGTGATCGAACCCGCTGCCCCCTCGGAAGCCAATGAGGACGGAACGGCACAGCGGAAGAACGTCGCATGCTTCTACATTCTTCACACCGCGGCCCAAGTCGTAGCCGAAGTCGGTCTCCAAAGATGCGCCGATAGCACATAACGTCATCTCGATAAAACCAGTGCCGCTGTAACAAGAGATCGAATACAATCCCTGCTGGAAATGCCATGCCATCAAATCCCGACCTGATTTGCCAACGTTCTGAAGGACATCCTTGTACCTCGCGGAGCGCTGGCAACAAGCACAAGCACGAAAAGAAGCGGGAGGGGGCAAAGAAGGAGGGCGCAAGAATGCGAAGGATGCTATCGCTGCAACGGGAGGGGACAAGGTCTCGCGGGCCTCGCAGCACCCACCCCTCGACGTTTCACGAGGCCCTGGTACCAGTGTAGGGATTCCATGAACGACGCTGGACCTGGCGGCGCCGCTGACGCAGAAGAAGTCGCCCGCCCGTGGGAATGTTGGGGCGATGTTGGCGTCGCTGAGGCCCTCGAGGCACGTGCCTTCCTTCGTGGGGAGGACTGGATGGGCCTCCTGGCACGTGGGCCATCAAACGAGGACTCCCCCACGCAACCCAAGTCTTCCCAGCTGCTGGGGCTCTCCTCTGTGGGAGGCATGAGTAGCGCCTCGCGGACTGGCCTGGCGACCCGAGCAATTCGAGCCGACGTTGCAGGCTGGCCTATGTGATAACGCAGGGCCCGAGGAGGACGCGGGGGAAGGGTGAGAGGGGAACGAAAGAAGAATGGGAGGAGAAGGGGGAGGTGCGAGGGGAAACACATGAAGAATACGAGGGCGACGCCCAAGATCAGGGGGACCTGATGGCTGACAATCCCTTCGGGTGTGCGAGCAAGCTGTCTGCCGCCCGCCCCCGATGACCTAAAATCCGTTTCCAGAAACGGTCGTTGGAGGGAAATGGGGAGGGGTGGGGGAGGGGGGGGGGGGGGGGGGGAGGGGGGGGGGGGAGTTTCCCAGTTCGGTGTTTGGAAGGGGCCCCCAAGGCGAGCTCCCAAGTGAGGCGCCTTGACGGGCGGAGGCCAAGGTGGGGCGCTCGGGCTCCAGAAAAGGGGAGCGCCCTGAGGGGGGCCAATCGGGGCCCCGTGGAATGGCATAGCACACCATACCTATGGCCCACGGCCGATAACTATAGCTTAAGGTGGGAACGCGATAAGACGGTAATACAATAAGCCGTATCATCTTATCGTCTGGTCGTCTCTTAGCTAGGTGCGTAGGTGTGTAAGGGATGCCCAAGAGGCCCCGAAGGAGCCCAAGGATCGTAGAGATCGAACGACAATCGACCTAAAAACCGTTTCCAGAAACGGTTTTTGGAGCGAGGGGGGGAGGGGGGGAGGGGGGGGGGGGTACAGTGTCCCAGTTCGGTGTTTGGAGGGCGCCCCCAAGGCGAGCTCCCAAGTGAGGCACCTTGATGGGCGGAGGCCAAGGTGGGGCGCTCGGGCTCCAGAAAAGGGGAGCGCCCTGAGGGGAGCCAACCGGGGCACCGTGGAATGGCATAGCGCACCATACCTATGGCCCATGGGTGGTATCTATAGCTTAAGGTGGGGAAACGATAAACTGGTAATACACTAAGCCGTATCGTCTTATCGTCTGGTCGTCTTTTGGCTAGGTGTGCAGGTGTGTAGGAGATGCCCAAGAGGCCCCGAGGGGGTCCCCGAGGCACCCAAGAGGACCCTGGGACCGCCAAGAAGCCCAAGGATCGTAGAGATCGAACGACAATTGACCTAAAAACAATTTCCAGAAACGGTTTTTGGAGGGGGGGGGATACAGTTTCCCAGTTCGGTGTTTGGACGAGGCCCCCAAGGCGAGCCCCCAAGCGAGGCGCCTTGATGGGCGGAGGCCAAGGTGGGGCGCTCGGGCTCCAGAAAAGGGGAGCGCCCTGAGGGGAGCCAATCGGGGCCCCGTGGAATGGCATAGCACACCATAGCTATTCTAAGCCGCTCGAGGTGCAAAGTTCTTATGCCCCAGCGCCTTACCTTGCTTTGGGGCATAAGAACTGATATGGCTGCTGATGTTCCTCTCCGCCACCTCAATTCCGCCGCAGTGGGGCTCGACGTTTCAGCGCTTTCGGTCCCGCGCCCGGTTGCGGCGACGCAAATGGCAGGACGACGACGACGTCGACGACGACGACGACGACGCTGACCACGACGACGACGACGAGAAAATCGAGGGTGGGGACGAGGACGACGGCGCGACGCGACCCGGCCAACCAACCTGACGAACCAGACGAACCAGACGAACCAGCCAGCCAGACCAACCAGACCAATCAGACCAGCCAGACCAAGCATACCAGCCAGAACCGAACGCGCCAGACTAACCGGGCCAACCAACCAAACCAATTAAAGGAAGTAGACGAAGCAGACCAGCCAGACCAAGCAGACCAGGCAGACCAATCAATGAGACCAGACCTGTAGACCAACCGATCAGGCCAGACAGACCAGACCAGACCAGCCAGACCAAACAGACCAGCCAGACAAGACCAGCTAGACCAGCTACACCAGCCAGACCAACCCCAACCAGACCAGCTTGACGGGCCGGACCAGCCAGACCAACCAACCAGACCAACAAGACCAGACCAGCCAGACTAACCAGACCAACCAAACGAAGCAGACCAGCCAGACCAACCAGACCAACCACACCAGCTAGACTAAGCAGACAGCAGAACAAGTAGACCAAGCAACCAGACCAGCTTGGCCAGTCGATCCGGTCAGGCAGACCAAACCAGACCAGACCAGCCAGACCAACCAGTCCATCCAGAGCAGACCAGACCAGCCAGACCAGCCAGACCAATCAACCAGACCAGACCACCCAGACGAACCCGACCAGCCAGACCAACGCGACAGACCAACCAGACCAACGAGACCAGCCAGAGCAGACCAGACAAGACCAACCAGACCAACGAGACCAACGAGAAAAAACATACCAGCCAGACCAAGCAGACCAGCTTGACCAGTCGATCCAGTCAGGCAGACCAAACCAGACCAGACCAGCCAGACCAACCAGTCCATCCAGAGCAGACCAGACCAGCCAGACCAGCCAGACCAATCAACCAGCCAGACCAATCAATGAGACCAACCAGACGAAACCAGCTAGACCAACGAGACCAACGAGCAAAAAAACAGCCAGACCAAGCAGACCAGCTAGACCAACCAGACCGACCAGACCAGCCAGACCAATTAGACCAGCCTGGCGAACCAGACCGATAAAGCAACCCGAACCAGACAAACCGAACCAATCGGACGTACCACACCAGACGAACCAGACCAACGTATATCGTCGTATCGTCTTATAGTATTATCGTTTGGCGGGTCTCTATATCGTCTTATCGTCTTATCGCACGATCGTAATATATCGTCGTGTCGCCTTACCGTCGTATCGTCTTATCGTCTGGCTTTGAAATAGCAAGCCCTGTGTTCCACGGTCCACCACAGTATATATATATATATGCAACTGTATATGTATATGTACATGTATACGTATATGTATATATGTGTATACATACATATATGTATGTAGGTGTATGTATATAGACATGTATATGTGTGTATTTCTGTATGTGTATATGTATATGTACATGTATATGTATATGTATATGTATGTATATGTCGATGTATGTATATATATATATATAACATATGTTGTATATAGTATATGATATATATATATATGTCTATATACAACTAATATATATATATATATATATATATAAATGTGTATATGTAGTTACTTACATTGTATATAATATACTATAATATATACTATCATATATATACTAAATATGTAAGGTTACAGTACAATTATATACACGATATATCATGTCTATATATATACTATATACTGTGTTATACTATATTACACTTATAGTATTGACCTTATGTTAGTATATAAATATAATAATGTACTATATATTATATAGTACAATATATATACATGTATATGTGTGTATTTATGTATATGTATATGTATATGTATGTGTATGTATATATGTATATGTATGTATGTATAAGTATATATATGTATATATTAGTATCATATATATATATATATACACATATATACATATATACTATTTCCCCCCAAGGCAAATCCGCTTCCCCTTATGGGGGCTATACCCGTCCACAACAAAGAACGATCGTGCTCGATTGGCCGGCCGGGTTGATATCGCCGCATTCACGGCGATCGGCACGCTCAACAAAAAATGAAACGATCTTATGAGGGCAGCCTAGGCTAGGCAACGGCAAGCGTGTACGACAAAATGTTGCCCAATCGGCGCGTCTACTGTCAAGGCACTGCATCGCTGTTTACCTGCCGCGGCAACATGGCCCATGACATAGTATATATACTATATGAATATAGTATATAGTATATATATATATGTATGTATGTATATATGTAGTTATTTATATTATATATTATAGTATGTATACTGGAACATATATATATATATGTATATATGTTAGTTTATAACATATTCATATATACCATACAGCCTATTCGTATGTATACTGTATATGAATATACGATACTACATTTAAACTACTTAAAATATGATAATTTTTATGTATATACATGATATATAGTATATTCGTATAATAATATATATATATATATATGTTATAGCGTAATATATATATATATATATATATTATAGTATTATATACATATATAGGTATATGTGGTTGTATATATGTGTATGTATTGTAATGTATGTTTATGTATGTGTATACGAATATGTATACATGCATATATATGTGTATGCATGTATATGTATATATACGTGTATATGTATGTGTAGTTATGTGTATGTTGATGTATATGTGTATGTATATGTTTGTACAAATGTATATATATATATATATATATATACATATTGCGTATATATATGTATGTGTATATGCATATGCGATTCCTGTCCGCGTGAGCGCTTTGCGTTTGAGAGACAGTGTATGCGTGCGCGTGTGCCCCCGTCCTTTGTAACCAACAAAAACATTTCCTGTCCGCGTAAACGCTTTGTTTGAATTAAGGTGTGCGTGTGTGTGTGTGTGTGTCTGCGTGTGCGCGGCGGGCCCGACGACAGGCAACCACTCAACCAAGGCGGTGTGGTCGTGCTGGGGGGTGGTCGTGCTGGGCCCAGGTGTGGTCGTGCTGGGGGGTGGTCGTGCTGGGGGGGTAGTCGAGTCGTGCGGGGGGGTGGTCGTGTTGCGTGCATTACGCGGTTCCTCGTGGTTGTCCTATCGTGCGTCGCGCGTCGCTGGGACCGCCTTGGTTGAGTGGTTGCCTGTCGCCACCCCTGTGTGTTTGATGAGTGGCGTTCGCGTCGTTGCGTGCGTTGACCTGTTCCTCCTCGTGATTGTCTCGGTTCAGGGGTTGCCTGTCGTTGCTCGCCGTACGGTCTCAGGTGCCCGAGTCGTCTGCCGCCCAGCTGCATCCAGACACGTGCACACAGCTATTTTAGGGCCTGTCGGCCCCTCGTCAACGACCAAAAAAGAGAAAACGGACGCCCAAGGACACGAGAAAACGTGTGTAGATATCCATTGGCGTGGCATCACTCTTTGTAGGGAGCTCTAGAGGATAAAATAAGCTGGCCCCCTTCCCCCTCAGAGCCCTAGAGCGTGCATTTCGTTGGGCGCGCGTGACCCACTACTCGCGCGCTAATGAGCAAGCGCGCCAGGAGCGACGACAGGCAACCACTCAACCAAGGCAGCCGCGGGAAGCGAAGCTGGCAGCTGACTTAGCAGCCCGAAGCGAGATCAGCCCAGAAGGCGTATAAAGCGCACCAGATGTAGCATAGCATGGGGGTGCAGCGAATCAAAGTCGCGCAAGCCACGGCGGCCCAGCCTTAAGGATTTGGGTAACGGCTTTGGCTTGCAAAATTTGGGTCTTGGTGGCTACAGGCTGTGGCTTTCAATATCTAGGCAAAATCTCTGTATTAAATCCAATCCAAAGTGAAAAGCCGGGATTCCAAGCTCCGCGCTGGCCTGAAGGCCCAGAATTTCATGCGAGGGCGGTAGTGTTTGAGGCTCCGCGCCCAAATACTTGCGATCGCGCGTAATGTCTTGTGTGCGCACCAGAAAGACCACAATGTCACGGGGCAAGAAGATTTCTCCAAATCGGCAGAACAAAAACAGAAAAGCACAAATTGTCACAGGAGTGCCCACTCAGAACCTATTTGACCAATTTCGGGACACACCTTGCGCTGGGAGCGGGCACGCGCGGGGGCGATGCGGGGGCGATGCGGGGGCAATGCGGGGACAATGCGGGGACAATGCGGGGACAATGCGGGGGCGCACCCCGCGGGGGCCAAACACCTCCGGAACACCCCAATCTGGGCGGGGACAATGCGGGGACAATGCGGGGAGAGTGCGGGGAGAGTGCGGGGGGCGCCCGCGGGGAGGGCGCAGCGCCCAGGGGCCGCCAGGGCCCGCCAGGGCCCGCCGCCAGGGCGCCAAAGCTTGGCATTCGGAAAAAACGAAGGAGATTTTCGCGAAAACAAGACGCATGTGACATCAAAGGACCGGCGAACATGCATACAAAATAATTCACACCGATTTTCACGAAAACACCGACGAGCGTGACATCAAAGGGCCGCGCGGCTGCCCATGTCATGAGAATCGGCGACTCGGCGACGCTTCGCTGACAACTACTGAACCTAGAGCCTAGATGACTACAAGAGCGCCTGGGAGAGCCAAGAAGACCTCCCAGCGGGCTCAATCTACCCCAAGATGGCTCCCAAGACTGCCCCACCAACTGGTCTTCCCCGAGGTCCCAAGAGGACCTCAAGAGGGCTCCAAAAAGGCCCCAGGGCCCAAGGCGGCCCCAAGAGGGCACCCAAGGCAACACAAATGGTAAACAACTGGTCGTTTACCATTTGTTGTTGTGCGCGGTCCCAGGGGATGTTTTAGGGGCCGTCTTTTTGGTGATGTTTTAGGGGCTTGGGGATGCTGCCCAGACGGCCCAGACGGCCTAGACGGCCCAGACGGCCCAGGCGGCCCAGACGGCCCAGATGGCCCAGACGGCCCCCAGACGGCCCAGACGGCCCAGGCGGCCCAGGCGGCCCAAATGGCCCAGGCGGCCAGACGGCCCAGACGGCCCAGACGGCCCAGACGGCCCAGACGGCCCAAACGGCCCAGACGGCCCAGACGGCCCAGACGGCCCAGAGGGCCGAGAGGGCCCAGAGGGCCCCAACGGCCCAGACGGCCAGACGGCCCAGGGGGCCCTGACGGCTCAGATGGCCCAGACGGCCCAGAAGGCCCAGGCGGCCCAGGCGGCCCAGGCGGTCTGACGGCCCAGACGGCCCAGACGGCCCAGACGGCCCAGACGGCCCAGACGGCCCAGACGGCGCAGACGGCCCAGACGGCGCAGACGGCGCAGAGGGCCCAGACAGCCCAGACGGCCCAGACGGCCCAGACGGCCCAGGCGGCCCAGACGGCCCAGACGGCCCAGACGGCCCAGACGGCCCATGCGGCCCATGCGGCCCAGACGGCCCAGACGGCCCAGACGGCCCAGACGGCGCAGACGGCGCAGACGGTCCAGACGGCCCAGACAGCCCAAACAGCCCAGACGGCCCAGATGGCCCAGACGGCCCAGACGGCCCAGACGGCCCAGGCGCAGGCGGCCCAGGCGGCCCAGACGGCCGAGACGGCCGAGACGGCCGAGACGGCCGAGACGGCCCAGGCGGCCAGACGGCCCAGACGGCCCAGACGGCCCAGACGGCCCAGACGGTCCAGACGGCCCAGACGGCCCAGAGGGTCCAAATGGCCCAAACGGCCCAGACGGCCCAGACGGCCCAAACGGCCCAGACGGCCCAGGCGGCCCAGACGGCCCAGGCGGCCCAGACGGCCCAGACGGCGCAGACGGCGCAGACGGCGCAGACGGCGCAGAGGGCGCAGAGGGCGCAGAGGGCCCAGACAGCCCAGACGGCCCAGACGGCCCAGACGGCCCAGACGGCCCAGACAGCCCAGACAGCCCAGACGGCCCAGACGGCGCAGACGGCGCAGACGGCCCAGACGGCCCAGACGGCCCAGACGGCCCAGACGGGCCAGGCGGCCCAGACGGCCCAGACGGCCCAGACGGCCCAGGCGGCTCAGACGGCCCAGACGGCCCAGACGGCGCAGACGGCCCAGACGGCCCAGACGGCCCAGGCGGCCCAGGCGGCCCAGACGGCCCAGGCGGCCAGACGGCCCAGACGGCCCAGACGGCCCATGCGGCCCAGACGGCCCAGGCGGCCCAAGCGGCCCAGACGGCCCAGACATCCCAGACGGCCCAGAGGGCCCAGAGGGCCCAGAGGGTCCAGACGGCCCAGACGGCCCAGACGGCCCAGACGGCCCAGACGGCCCAGACCGCCCAGACGGCCCGGAGGGCCGAGAGGGCCCAAACGGCCCAAACGGCCCAAACGGCCAGACGGCCGAGGGGGCCCAGAGGGTCCAAACGGCCCAGATGGCCCAGACGGCCCAGACGGCCCAGACGGCCCAAACGGCCCAGACGGCCCAGACGGCCCAGGCGGCCCAGGCGGCCCAGACGGCCGAGACGGCCCAGACGGCACAGACGGCCCAGACGGCCCAGACGGCCCAGACGGCCCAGACGGCTCAGACGGCCCAGGCGGCCCAGATGTTGTAAGGGATGCTTTCGGGGCCGTGCCAGGTAGTGCCTTGGCCCAGGCTTTCGCCGACAGCGGCGAACTGAACCCTTGGAGCGGCATGCCGTGCGTACAGTGGTGGTGTGACAAATCGGAATCGTCTGGCCTTGTTTATCCCGCGCTCCGTCTCCGAATACTAGATGTACGTGTTCTATATACACATATATATATATATATATATATATATATATATGCCCACACACATCTATATATATATATGCCCACACACATATGTATATATATATATACCCCCACACACATTTACACATACATATATTCAACATACGTACACTTTTATACATGAGTATATAAAAGGTAGAATACTTATATATGCACATGTATATTGCATATATATACAGCATACATATATGACATATACTGTATACATATATACATACGTATGCCTACTATATATATGTACATGTATGCAAATGTATACATATGCACGTGCGTATGTGTGTGATGGTTCTCTTGGAGCCCTCTTGGCGGAAGCGGCGACGGTGACGCTGGCGATGAGGCTGTAACGATGACCGACGGGGGAGGAGGGAGAGGGAGGCAGGAAGGGGAGGGATGAGGGAGGAAGGGTGGGGTGGTGGAGGAGCGAGGAAGAAGAGGAGCAGGACGAAGACGGAAGAGAAAGGAGGAGGAGGAGGAGGACGAGGAGGATGAGGAAACGGAAGAGGAGGAGCAGGAGGAAGGCGGAGGAGGAGGACAAAAGGGATGCGCTCCTCCCCTCGCCGTCCGCCACCCCGTCATGCCATCGATATTGGCTGCTGGGGCTGAGCACACGCAGAGAGCGTTGCAAACTACAATGCGAAACGCCAACATGGAGGGGGGAAGAAGTGCACCACCTTGGGCAAACATCTTCCCCCGTTTGTTTTGGCGTTTCGTGTGTGTTTTGCCACACGTTCTGCGCGTGCTCAGCCCCAGGAACCAATATCGATGCCATGAAGGGTGAAGGGTGCGCGGGCGGCGGGGAGGGGGAGCGAGGTAGGGAGGAGGAAAAGGATGAGGAGGACGATGGGGAAGAGGAAGAGGAGGAGGAGGGGGAGGACGATGGGGAATGAGGAGGAGGAGGAGGAGGAGGAGGAGGAGGAGGAGGAGGAGGAGGAGGAGGAGGAGGAGGAGGAGGAGCAGGAGGAGGAGGAGGAGGAGGAGAGTTGCGAGGATGTCTCAGGCGAAACGGGCTGGAACAGCTTTCGCGCGGCATTTCGGAGCCCAGAGTTTGGGGGATGTGTCAGGCCAAACGGCACGGATCACCTCGCGAACAGCATCTCGGAGCCCAGAGTTGGGAGGATGTCTCTGGCGAAACGGCCCGGACTACCCGCCGCCGCCGCCGTCGTCATCGTCGTCGTCGTCGTCGCTCCACTGTGTTCACTGGTTGCCTGTGGTTCTTCGGGGACTCGCCCCTCGGAAGAACCACAGGCAACCAGTGAACACCTCATTGTCGTCGTCGTCGCCGCCGCCGCCGTCGTCGTGGTCGTCGTCGTCGTGGTCGTCGTTGGCGTCGTCGTCGTCGGCGGCGGCGGTTTTCGGGCCATAGCTCGGGCCTCTGGCGGCCGCTCGGGCGCCCAGGGGACGCCCTCGGCGAGACACAACTGCCAGAAATCATCCCGGGGAGAGGGGAACTCCACGAACCGACGAAAGCCGCTACCCTGCTACCCTGCTGCCCTGCTACCCTGCTACCCCGCTACCCCGCTACCCCGCTACCCTGCTACCCTGCTACCCTGCTACCCTGCTACCCCGCCACCCCGCTATCCCGCTACCCGGCCACCCTGCCTCCCAGCTACCCTGCTACCCTGCTACCTTGCTCGGCGGCGAGGCCGCAACAAGGTAGCAGGGTAGCAGCGAGGTAGCAGGGTAACAGGGTAGCGGACCGTTTTTGCAAAACCGCCCCCAGCAACACAATGGAATTTATGCAAAACTGCAGTTGTTCTCGAAAGTGCCCCCCCCCCCCCACTTGCGAGCGATTATCTGGATGAGGGGGGGAACCCAATGTGTTAACCCATGCCCGCGCGGTAGACGACCCAAAGGGGGGGCACTTTGTTAACGTGTGTCCAGACCCCCCACGGCCACCGATCTAAATGTGCGGGGGGGGGATGTGTGAACCCATGCTCGCACGGCAGACGATCCAAAGAGCGAGGCCACTTTGGCAACTTGCGCCAAAGACCTCCTCAAGGTCAGCGATCTGGAAGAGGGGGGGGGGCATTTGTTAACCCAGGTTCGCACGGCAGACGATCCAAAGGGCGGGGCGCTCTGTTAACATGCGTCCACAAACCCACAAGGTCACCAATCTGGACGAGGGGAACACAAAGCGTTAACCTATGCTTGCGCGGTAGACGATCCAGAGGGCTGCGCATTGTCAACATGGGGGGTGTGGGGTGTGCGTGTGCGTGTGTGTGTGTGTGTGTGTGTGTGGGGGGGGGGCAAACTTTCTAATCCATGCTCGCGCGGTAGACGATCCAAAGAGGGGCCCACTGCTAGCCTGAGCGATGTGTTTCGCTCCCGCGCGGCGCTTCTCAGCGCCCTTCCAGCGACATCAAACTCGCATCATAACGTGGTCACGTGGTCTGGCAGCGCGCTGAGGAGTAGAGGCGTCGGCGCTGGGGCAAGGTTTCTGATGGGGGGTCTCCGAAACCGAAGCCCTCCGCGGTTGTTATGTTCAGAAGCCCGTCAGGGCCCTTCGAAAACAAAAAAAAACGCCCCAAGAAACAATACCCCGCCGTGCCACCCACCGGCGGGCTGCCGAGAATAGCGCGGGCATCTCCCACGGCCAAGACTCAAGATACTCGAAATGCAACTCTAATCAGAAGATGAAGATGAAGAGGTCGAGTCGCTGTCAGAGCTGCTGGAGGAAGCCCCAGCCTCTGCATCGTCGCTGCTTGACGGCACGGCCCCGTCAGAATCGGCGCCCGCCACGCCTCGGCCGCGGCCGCGGCCTCGCCCGCGGCCTCTTCCTCTGAGGGGCAACGGTGGGGGGGGGGGCTGGCATAGGCATAGGGGGGGCGCATCGACATGGAATCGGCGACACGTCGCCGATAGATCGGCGACAGGCCCCCGATTGTGAATCCGCACCTTCCTGGGCGGGTTGGTGCTATCAGACCCCTATCGGCAGTCAATGGGCGATTGGGGGTCGATGCGCCCCCCCCTATGCCTATCCCCCCCTATCGTTGCCCCTGATCCTCGGGCCCGCCCAGCTGATTTGCCACCGCGACGGCCGCGGCCGCCGCCACTGCCCCTGCCGCGCCCTGGCGGCGGCGTCAATGCAGGGCAATCATCATCACCGCCAGCTCCAACTCCGCCGCCCCCCTGGCCATCGCCTCCGGGTGCTGACGGCTGCGGCGACGCCGGCCGATCTTCGGCGCCTGCGCCAACTGCGCGGCCGCCGCCCCTGCGGCCGCGGCCGCGACCTCGTCCGCGGCCTCGACCCGCAGCTCCCGCTGGCGGCGGCGGCGGCTGACCTGCTGCGCCACCGTCGTCATCATCTCCTCCTGGCTCTGCTGGCGTCGGCCCTGCGGGGTCGCCCTCGTCGCCAGCAGGATATTCGCTGCCCTCGTCGCCTGCGTGGCCTGCCATCAGCATGTGTAGCCCCATCCTTTCCAGAGCGTCGTCATCAGGGAGGGCTTCCTTTGGCGGGTCCTCGTCCTTCTCTAGCTCCATGTGGTCTTCGATCGAGTCGTGCGCAGATAGGTGGCCACGGGCAACCCAATACTTGAGTAGATTCACCACATATTTGCTGGATTCCTCCACTTGCGCGGGATCTGCGGCATCTGTTTGCTTCGCGGCCATGGCCCTTGTCCGGGTACACTGACGAGCCGCATGGGAATGCCGCCTGCAAGTGCACTGCCAACCAATCCACACGTTTTTCTTCTTTTTCTTTGTCAGAAGTGCGCCGAACCACTCGAAGCTCTCCCCCGCTCGACCGGCGAAATCTCTCGGCGGTCTCGGCGGCACTGGTTCATCCCTCTCGTATTCTGATTCGGGGGCCTCTGGCGTGGGGGGGCCCTGCACTGGCGATGGCGCTTCATCTTCCGCTCCTGGAGCTTCTGGCGCGGGGCATCCCTCCACTGGCGAAGGCGCGCCCTCAGCTGGGTCGCCGTCGCTGGGGGCAGCGAACCCTGAGGGCCCCCCTCCCAGTCTTGGAGATCCGAGCCAATCGTCGCCTCCAGCATTGTCATCCCCCTCTGCGGGCGGGGGTGGCAACGAACGCTGGCCTGGTGATGGGACGTGTTCGTCGATGGCCCGCAACTCAGGGGAATGCGATGGCCGCCGCCTCTTCCGGCCACGTCGCGGCGGAGTTGCGGGCGGCGGGAGGGCAATTCCATCTCCGTCGTCACAGTACCCGACGGGCGCAGGAAGCTCTGCTGCTGAAGGCTCCCGATGGTTCTCGATGACGAAAGCGTAATATTTCTCCGAGCGCCCGTGCGGGATGCGCAGTAAAATGTCGGTGGCGAAAATATCTTCGGCCTCTGCCAGAGCTCGCATGTAGTTGGAAGAAACGGTCAATGCCCCCTTGGCAACGAAGAATACACGTTCGCCCCTTGCCGAATACGCCGGCGCATCCTTGACCGTGCCACCTCGCCCGCCAGGCGCCGCTCTCAGCTGCCAGCGGTTGCTCAACAAATGGTCCAACAACTCATGCGGCTCCATGTCGCAAGGACGCGCGTCCACATCGTGGGCCAGAAAATACCGCGGGGACCTCGCAGCGGTGACCATGACCATCTGCGCGATGGCGCTTGCGGTGATGTTCCACGAACTCCTGTCCTCGGACCTCCCCACGCATTCGACCCAGCCGTCCGCTTGCAAACTTTCCGCGGCAACTAAACACTCAGAGTCCACTCCATGCTCAATTGTGAACGGCTGGGGCGCGTATGCACTGGAGAAGGACTGCGCGCCAAGCATCCGCTTCAGCAAATCCCGGCGCGGGCCGTCGTCAGCTCCGCGGGAGGGCAGTTGTTGCCAATCGAAATACCGACCACAAGGTTCCCACTGCAAAACTGATTGGCGCATGCTGGAATGGTCCAGCGTGGGGAGGGACCATATAGAGACGAGGTCGCCAGTGT